GTGGGTTAACAGATACAATGACCACATATCCTCATGCCTTAGGGTTTTCTCATCTAAAAATCTGTTCTAATCTGTGGTCTAATAGTGAAAAGGGGGGTCCGTTTGAGGAAGGTAAATCTTATAATTCAAGAGGTACATTTTATCAAGTTGAAATTGTCTTTATTGTTTTTGGTGAGGAAGCATTCCCTAACAACAAAGGATTTGGTTAAACAACTTCTTGCTCTCTATAATTTGCCTCTAACACTCAGTTGGTGTCAATAGCAAATAAATAGTCCATTCTTAACCTCTACTTCATTTTTTCAAGTAGAGGGAACAATGGCCATATTTGAGGAGGACCATCTCTTTGTACTGAGATTCACAAGAGTTCAACTGGGAGTCCTGATGCAGGATATTGATATATTACATATCTTTCTATTATTTCCTTTAGGAAACTGACTTTGAGATTTTAATATGGGGTTTCTATTCATCATATTTGTGTGTATGTGTGTGTGTGTGTGTATCTTAGTATAATGGTGATCAAAATGCCATTGAAAAGGGCATTTATTGCAATGGAATCAGAAAATGGTTATTAAAACTAGTTGTGGGCATATAGTAGGCTTCCAGTGACTTGAAAAATAACATCAATCACACATGATGAGAAATAATTCTGTTCCCTTTGGTAGTAAATATAGAAAGTGTGACTTTGTCACTTAATCATGTAGACTAGGGAAAATTAATAATCTTATTTGAACTTTATATTCCTCATTGGAAAAATATATGGATATCAATTATGTTCTGCCACATAGTGTGGGTATTTTGAAAACTGTGAAGTATTATGTAATTATTAGAGACTCCAAAAACTTATCAGTTGATGATACTGATGTTCATAAGAAATGTTTCTATATGTTCATGTCTATTTAAATATGTTTAATATGTAGCATATAGAACAATATTGTGTGCTGATTCTTATAACATCATAGGATGGATCAAAAATCTCATTTTTCTAATTACAAGAATACAAAATGAGGGTGCCACATGCTTCAACCAGTTGTAATTTGGTGAGTTAGAAGCATAGAGGGATTAGACTTCAGGATTTCATTGCATTGCAAATAAGACCTTTTCAAAGCTCTTGAGAATTACTGTCCTTGAAAGTGGAATTTTCCAAGGAACAAAGTCAAAACATAAATTTTAACAGCTAGTAGATGCAGGAGTTGAGATTAAGAGCACTTGTTCAGCTATGCTTTCATAGGCTCAGAGAGATTAAATGACTTATCCAAGGTCATATAACCAATGAGTGTTAAAGGTAAAACTAGAATGAAGTACATCAGATTCATAGTTCCGACTCTGAATTTCATTTCACACTGTAGACTGCTGAGCCATAGAACTTAGTTTCCTAATTGTATTCTTAATATTATTCCATAATAAGCAATATCTGACAGAACTATTTATGAACTATACATATTTACTTATTTTAATTTGTTTAAGCATCACTTTGGGGTATATATTTAAAATTCTCTCTTAGTGACCATCATACCATTGTGATTTTTGTTATTATCACTGAGTATATGGGGATACAATGGTAGACCAAATGATTTGCTATCCCTGTCCACTGCAAAGCTCATTATCTAAGCAAAGAATCATGGGCATGTATACATGCAATGGTGATGTACTCCATGAATCAGAATTGCAGAATATGAAGACAGTCTATAATAGAGTTGATAGAATAATATATCAGGAAAAGCCTTATTGAGGAAATAATACCTGAGCAGAGATTTAAAAAATAAGCTGGTGTTGATCAGAAAAAGATGGAAAGCCTTAACACTCCATGGGATTATGCAACATAGAAAGCATAAGAGACTAAAAAAAGACCAATATAGTCAGAGGGGAAGGAAATAGATGAACAGGGGGTAAGACAAGGGGGAACGTAAACATGGACCTGGCCACATAAGACTTTTAGGTCATATTAAGTAGTTTCCTTGTCCTATTCAAAGATAAATGGAGCTCCATAGTATTAACCAGGGACTGTGACATAATCAGATTCTGATTTTGAATAATCATTCTGATTGCAGTAAATAGAATGGGTGGAAGAGGGTCAGCTGTTGGTCTATGCCAACTAGTAAGGTGACTATTACAGCAGTATAGGCAATAGATAAGATATCCCAACTGGAGTTATGGGGGATTAGATGCAGAAAAGTGGACATACTTGACATATATTGGGGAGATAAAATCAATAGGGCTTGCTGAAGAACTGGATATGGGGTGTGACACATAGGGAGACTCAGAGTTGCTACCTTGGCTATTGGTTGCTGCCAGTGAAACAGGTACAGTAGAATAGGATTAGGATTTGGAGGAATTATCATGAGTCTGGTTTTGATATGAAGAGTTTAAGGAGATTTTGAGATACCCAACAAGAATTGTTTAGGAACCAGTTGGATAAATAAGTCTGGATAGAAATATATATCTGTGGTTCATCTTCATAAAAGACAATAGAAACTATATTATTATCTAAGAGAGAGTAGAGTGAGAAGAAGAGAAGGTCTAGAACATATCCTTCAGGAAACCCAACTTTTATAGGCTAGATAGAAAGGATATGCCTGCCAAGGAGATAGAATAGGAGGCAAACTAGGAGTTCACTGTGTCACAAATGGGATGTACTTCAAGAAGGAAGAAGAGGTACCATGGAAATGTCAAATAAGATGAGAACAGAAGAATATCCTTTGGCCTCAGTTACAAGGAATTCATTGGCAGACTTAATGAGAGCTGTTTCTGTGTATTGAAAGGGCTGGAATCCAAATTGAGGAGAGATGAGAAAAGGAGGAGGCCAGACTAGATCCTCTCTAAAGTCCCTTCCAACTCTAAAATAATATAATGCTGTGATTTCATGCTGCTAGCCAGAGTCTTCCTTTGTCACAAGTTTCCCAGTTCCTGCTTAATAACATGGCTCTGTTGTTGAAAGAGATTGATTCAAAAAGAATGTATTACTTTAAGCATCTTTAAAATCTTAAATTTGGGATGAATCATTTTTTTTTCTTCATTTACATCTATATTTTCTTTTGGAAAGAATCTTGAGCACAAAAAAATCTTGTGTGATTTTTCCATATAGCACACTAATTGAAGAAATATATTTCCAGGAATTGATTTAACTTTTTGGGTCAGGACTGCAGGGATAAAACCAGGTTTAAAGTTTCCATGTGAATGAATTTGGAAGCGAACAGATTTGAAGCTGTAGTTCAGGGATGTCTCATAGTAGACCATACTGTTTTTCTTTTAAATTGAATCGCTTTTTCTAGACACTGAGAGTTAAGAAACACATCCAAAGAACTGATTTTGTATGTAAGCAGAATGCTTGGGCTGCTGCATTTCATCTAAAAAGAGGTTCCAATATTCTGTCTTGGTGACATAGAAATCTGGTGAAAGGGCATATACACCTTTGTTATTCAAAGTGTGACCTGTGAACCTGCAGCATCAACTTTAGCTAAAAACTTGTAAGAAATACAGAACTCAGGTCCCAAGGCAGATCTATTGTATCAGAATTTGCATTTCAATAGGATCTTCAGGTGATTTATATTAACATTAAAAGGTGAAAATAACTTGCATTTTCCCTCAGAATTTACTTTTTAGAAACATAGAATTCTTTGTTACTCTGCTAGGATGTTATAAATTGATCCAAGGACAAGTTAGTCATTTATGGACTAAAAATTAATTCTATTATTTTGTTTTAAAATTAAGTCTTCTGGTGGAAGGCCAGAGTGACTAAGGTGACAAAAAGTAAGTTCCTCACCCAACTCATGGTAGGACATTCATTTTTTCTTTCCCCCTTTCCAAAAGCTCAGTTGAATTATCTATCCTTCCTCTTGTTCTTAATTATAAAATTTGTAAATTTAATTTGTAGTAGCAAGGTTAATTCTTATGCTCAAACTTTTGTTATTTTCAGTCTCTAGCATAGGAGAAAACCTACACTTCATTACATGACCTCCTTCCTGGTGGTTAACATCTGGAATGGACAGATGAAACTAAAGCCCCCCAGTCAGTCTCTCTCTCTCTCTCTCTCTCTCTCTCTCTCTCTCTCTCTCTCTCTCTCTCTCTCTCTCTCTCTCTCTCTCCTCCGTTTCTAACATGGAGCACTATTCTAACCTTTAACCAGGGGCAGGAAAAGATTGCTACTGCCCCCTGCTGGCCCATTGTCTTTTTTTTCCTTTCTCTACAAATCTGACTTAAGAGGATGTCCAAAGATTTTGAGCCACTGAAGAAAGCCCAGTGGAAGGGGCTTTCCCTAGTAACGAGGTAGATCCTTTGAGAACAGGCGGCTAAAATGAAATGAAAACATTCAAGAGGCAAGGAAAGCATAAAGGACTTCTAAATTAAATTACCGATTGTTATGAACCTTTTTCTGTACACGGGCTTCTCTACACCAAGGTAATATCCCCTCCTTTTCAGCACAGGGCTTCACTTTTGCCTCTGGTTCCCACTGATAATAAGTGAACTACCCACACCCTTATTATAATTTCAGTACTCCAAATCCTGTTCTGTTTCCCTAATTTTCTTCCCCATGTCTAAACCTTATTTCCTTCTCTTTTCTGCTTCAAACTCCCGTCCCGCCCACCCACAGGCAGACTAGCATTTTCAGGAAGCTCAGACCCCAGCCTTTCTCACCCCCTCTGTCTCCCCTGACCTCTGCTCTCTCCTTATCATAATCTCGCTCACTTCAGCACCCCATTACTGAATGGCCAGTCACTCTTTGCCTTTGAACAGCAGGCACGTCCCCACATGAATGCCTCTCCCCGACCCCCGCCCCAAGCTACTGAAAAAGGAAACATGCGCACTTCAGAGCTAGGAGCTGTCCGAGTGCTGAAATTTATAGGCTGGGTAAGATCACGTCTCCGTCTTTTTCTGTAGCCCTCATTCCAGCACAGGATCTCAGCAATTTCTCCCTCTTCCCCCCAAACACTCCAGCGCGCAGAGTCCTTTCTTCTTTCTCATTTACAACTTCTTTTTAAAGGAGAACATTTTCTAGAGGAAAGGGCTTTGCTAAACAGAAAGGATATAAAACAAAAGCCACAGCAACCCGACTTCCAGCATGGCATTGTCACCAGCCCCCTTTGCATGGTGATGCGATTAAGGTAGCAGCATTTTTATTATTCAGGAAAAGCAGCTGGGGGATTCATCAGTTCTGAGGCTTTGTCTTTCCTGGGCTAACTGATGGTCCTGAGCCTCGGTTTGACCTGACCATGATGCCCAGGACTGGCACTTTTTGTTTTTTCTCAGAAAACTGTACAAACCCAAATTTCTTTTTGATTTTCAAAGAAACTAGATTCCTGCTAGATTTTGAATCTGGACAATAAATAGATACTTTGTCCTAGCTTCTTTCTGGAATCATTTCGGGATATTTTCCACAAGCATCACAGAAACAGGAATGAACCGGCAGCTAGTGAACATTTTGACAGCCTTGTTTGCATTTTTCTTAGAGACAAACCACTTCAGGTAGGTGAAACGACTTTGCATGCTGATATTTTCCACATGAAACTGTTTGAAAGAGAAAGTGTCATGCAATTATCAATTTTTTCCTGTTCCCTGGATCATATTACTTTAATTTTATAGAGGAGAGTTAGATTTATTTTGTTCATTTAAAAAGCTTAATTATGGTGGGAAGGTGGTAAATTTTCACAAAAGCAAGTTTTATGTTGCATAGCTGCACTCTGCATTTCAACACACATTTCCACAGCCAATGTGATATTAAGATAGTCTGATGAGTTGCATGTCCTTTACATTTCTATATAAGGTTGATATTTTTGCTTTCAAATTCTTTTGGAAGTCATTTTAAAGGGATTAATGGGTGCAGTGTTTTTCATCTGGTGGAGTGATTGAATTAATTTGTCAGAAACATGCTCATTTTATATAAAAATATATGAGAACCCTAATTCTCAGCCAACTTGGGACTTCTATTATATTTCATCAACTTGAAGCATACTCTGATAACTGCAATTCAGGAATTTTCTTGAAACATCAAATATCTCTTTTTACCACAATTCTACCATTTAGTCTACTTGAAAATTGATTGCCTACCAAAATTTAATTAATATGACATCTTTGTACTTATGTCTGCATGACGAGTGGAGTGTGCATAGTTAAAATAAGTGAGAAATTATTATTTGCATGCTTTCATTTTCTACCTAATTTACTAGTTGTCAAATCAATTGCTATCTCAAAATATTAATTTTATTGCCAGTAAATGAAATAGCCATTTAGTGGCAGAGTCTAAGATAAGAGATAGGAGATACTCTTATAATAAAGTATAGAACTCTACCTTTAATTTTCACCAAATTTTATGGTATTTTTTCACAGAACCAAGAGAAATTGAACACATAGAAATAATGCTATGAATACTGGGAAAACCCACTATGTTCCTTTCAGGTTCACACCTTCTACTATGATTAAGAAAGATTGTAGGCTGGGTTTTATTAGAATCATCATCATCATCATCATCATCATCATCATCATCATTTTCATCACTACCACCACCATCATAATCAAATAATACTTGATTAATCAGATGAATCTGCATATGGGAATGTGAGTATTTCTGGATGATTATATCAATTTCAACTCCTACCAAATGCTTATATCATCTTTGCACTTAAATTCAATGCCTCTTCTTTGAAAAACTGGCAAGAATGTGGTATTTTCTTAGTGTTAGAATTAACAAGATTGTTCAACTATTGAAAACAAAGCTTTTACAATACATACTTTAGTGAAGAAATAAACATATTCAGTCAACCACTATGTATTTTGAAAGAATTTATTACAAACCAAATATGCTCTTCTTATAAGCTCTTTATTACTTTTGACATGGACATGAAAATCTGAGAGGTTTTCCATTCAACTTTTAGTGCTTTTGATACTGAAAAAGACAAAATGACTTAGAAGTATTTTTTCATTAATGCTTTATTAGAGAGTTGAAAATTTAAGTGTTCATATATAAATAACAACTGATAAATTAATGGAAGTAACAAACATAATCATTGTTGACCTATTTTTAAATGAAGTTAAAATTCCAAATGAAGTTTCTCTTTTAGATATCACATTGGAAAATACTAATAACTAATAACTGAAATAGAATCTAGCATGTGAAAAATAAGCAATATGATAATTAATTGCAGTGTTTAGTGTGTTCATCCTATCTTACATTTCTTATGAAAGGTAGAGGATTTATATTTAGGGCTGCAATGATGGAACAAATTTTTTAAAGTATGGGAAAATGATTCAAGTCATCACATGAATTTCAAAAATTATCATTTTCAATTCTCTGGTAATTCTACAAATAAATAGTTTTACCTAAATGTCCATAGAATCTACAACCTGAATCTATGTACATTGTCATCTGAAGCATATTATGATTAAAGTTTGAAAACTTGGGAGGTATGGATTTATGCTTCTCATCATGTAAAGTTAACTTTAGACCATATACAAGCTCAGAAGTTAACCAAAGAGTTTATATTTTTCTATTTTGTTCTTACTAATATATGAAATATCTTCACCAAAATGTGATACAAACATTCTATATTAGTTCTCAGCAGCTGAGAATGAAATTGTTTCTAAAAGAGTTAATGATGTGTTTAGGGCGGCTTTCTGCAAAGACCATGACTCCAGGTCTGGAAAACAACCTTCGCAGACCCTATCTCCTTCAGATTTCTTGGACAAATTAATGGGCAGGACATCGGGATATGATGCAAGAATCAGGCCAAATTTTAAAGGTATGTTCCACTTAAACTCATGTTAAGGCTTTGAGAAACCCTAGGTATTTGAATAGTTTACTCAGGAAAAAAAAAATTTCAGGCTTTTTTTATTGCAAAACAGAAGCAACAAGTATGGTATTCATTTTATTTTAGCATTTTAAAAATCACTCAGTGATTTAAATATCTTAAATTTTATTTGTCACTTGCCATGCTTATAAACTTTCCTTGTTTGTGCTTCATTCCAAAAATAACACTAATGGCAGAGATTATTGCCACAGTCTCTATTTTGTCTTAAGTGGAAATGTGGCTGGAAGTGAATACAAGAAGAAATGATTGACTTGACTTGTATAAACATCTACCAGGATGCATGACAAATTCAATGGTTACACCAAAATATATCGTTTTGGTTTTAAATATCAAATCAAAGTGAAGTTTAAATATCAGATAAAATATGCTATTTTATACACTTTCAAGCCTTTTTAAAGTTTTAGGCTTTGTTAGAAGAGGCTCTAACACAACAGAAAAATTTGATTCCCACTTGTTTAAACATTTTAATTGCTTATTTGAAATTATTTATTCAGAAATAACAAACATTATAGAATTGTAAATGCATATGTAAAAGATGGTAGATAATTTCTTTGTTCAATTAGAAGCAAATGGAAGTTTTCTGTTTTTGTTCTACATTACAAAAATGTACTTAATAGTCTGTAGATACTGTTTTATCCATTTGGTTTATTTTTACTCTCAATAAAAAATGTACTAAGAACAAATTATTAATAAAAATTATTGTGATGCTTTGTTTTTAAATACATATTTTAAATGGCAGTTGTCATTTAGTTGAATTTAGCATAATGTATTATGAAGCATTTATAATATTTTATAAAAGTATAAACCTATAATATTTTAAGTGTTGTGCAGTAATTCATGCATCACTTTGATTTTGTATATTAACAACTTAATTTCATTGCTTTCCTTGAGTTTTGATTAATTTTCGTTATTGGAAAATATAAGCATGAAAACTAAATTATAAATTCCTTTTTTTTAAGTGCTACACCTCTGAATATATCCAGTTTTGGGCACATTTCATAAAGATATGCCAGAATTTTGGCAAAACAAGCACTTTTGATTTTAGAGATTTCCAAGAAACAAAGCTGAACTAAGTTTAGAGATCAATTTTCCTGAAAAAAAAAATCTTCTAGTTCATCCCATTTCCTATAACTTTGTGGTCACTGTTTTAGAAGTCCGTATTTGGAATAAAATCATATGAGTAACAAGCCAAGAATCAGCTTTCAATGGGATTGCTCATTCACACATTTATTCAATACCTTTTGAGTCTGAACTAATGGCTAGGTACTTTGGAAAACTGAAATATGAAACAGGTTCGGGTGCTCAAAAAATTTCAGGGTGTGGCAAGAGAAGATGTTACATGAATACTACAGTATTACACAGAAATAGTTAAGTACTCTCAGGAAGTATACATAAAATACTATGGAGAAATGGAGAGATAATTTCTTATTAAGCTATTCATGTAAAAATCACAGATAAGGTCTAGAGACAGCAAACTGTTCAAGTTTATGAGCACGTTTGTTTGATAGCAGTTATTACTCATTGCTCTCAAGAAATAATTTTTCAAAAGTGCAAAGGGTAATAAAACAAATACCTATGTTGCCATTGCTACTTTACATGGCCACAGAATGAGCCATTATTCCTAGTTTTTTTTCCTGACTATTCTGGGGATGTCACCATTTGGAAATGACATTTATCATGGTTCTAAAGGATACATGAACAAGAAGAAGGTCAAGTTTAGCAAAGCATGACCACATTTTTGCAATCTATCTACTACATGAAGGCCTAAGTATAGGATATTTTAATGATGATAAAAGAAAAATGAGATGGATATCACTTAAGATTCTAAAATTAATGAACTTCACTGACTTTTATCTCCCTGTCCCTTTAACTCTCCACTTCAATGAACACTGCTATTCCTTCATAAACTTTATTTATATAGCCTTCATTCTGGGGAGCTTGATTTTCCAATGTAAAAGATTCCTCATTATTTTAGAGTAAAATGAATTTCTTTGCTTGGTGTTCCCATAGAACTTTATATGTCTAATAAGGTCATTTTACATATTTAAGTTTGATAGATTCACTCTACACTATATTTGAGAGGACAGGGAGGCTCCTTATTTATATATGCATGCATATGGGATATTGTGGTGTAAGGAAAAGAAGTCATCTTTTTCTCCAGAATGAGGAAATAAGGATCAAAAAAGAGAGTGAAATGCAGATCAGTTATGAAGATTAATGCTTCCAATTAGTTGTAGTAGAAGTTGAGGGTGAGAAATTTGGCAGTAGTCTTACAGGTGAACAAAAATGATCTTAGCTAAACTGAAGAGAAAGAAATAAAAGTCAGAGTTAATAGGGAACTTGAAGCAGAGGCTTGGAAAATCACTATCATACTTATCATAATTATTTAGCAATGTATAAATGACAAATTTTGTATAGTAGGCAGAAAAGAAGAATGATCAGTATATGTAATTGCATCTAGAATAGTGGTAGTCTCCCTATAAATGTCCCAAAGCAAATTGGATATGATAATAATAAACATGATAATGACAATGTTTACAACAACAGTGATTAATAAGTACACATAAGGGCAAAATTTGACCATAAGAATAAAAGCAAGATCCAAATATTGACTGTTGAGGTAAAGAGAATGAATATTCTAGAAGTCTTATTAAATATTAGCATGTTTATTTTCCTTGTTGCCAGGCCTTGGCAAGACAGAAATAAATGTATATGCATAAATTTTTATTGAAAAGAATTTTTCTGCATACTTTCAAGTCAGTAAAATATTGTGTGTCTACTCTATATCCTTGATGGGCTCTGAAAGATGTCATAATGGGCATATATACATGAAAGAAGATGGATGTAAGCTAGAAAAAGAAACCAGAAATGATTCAGACTTAGGCTCTGTAATTGAGAGACATTCTTAGAAACTATAGGAAAAAATAGCTTTTTTTTGATGAGCTGAAACGCAAGTATATAAACAAAGTCATGAGTCAGAGTTGTCGACTGAATTCCATCTATAAGGGCCATAGAGACATGGATCGAATCTTACCAAATATAAATTTTCACAATTCCCAGTTCAGATAAAAATGCAGCAATGCCTGCTCACAATTACCCAGTCAAAACACATAGTAAATGTTGATTCTACATCAACAGAGAAGCCCCTTTCCCCTCTTCGGTGATTTGTCTGGTTTTAGTTGATTTATCATGGTGTTATTCCACCATCCTATCAGATATTCCTTTGTCAGTATTATTGTATCTTGAAAATGTCACTTTAAACATTAAGTTTTTAATTGAAATGCTCAAAGCTGGAAAAATTCATTAGCTCTGTCTCTTTCTTTTTGAAACAAAGCTTTATCTATTTTAATGAAATTTTCCTTGAAAATAAAATTAACTTAGATTTATATTCTGCATTTCATCCCAATGTGAATAAATATGTTTCACTATGGTATTGTTTTTGGCTTAGGACATAGAATAGATAATACCAAGAGATAATTATTCACTCCACTTCTTTGAGCATGCCATGCAAACTAATTTTTCCACATCTAGAGACCTAAGTCTGAAAGTATGATGTATGGCATTAAAATCTACATTTGCATGTAAAATGGTTTACAGCATATTAGGATACATTATTATAAATTACCTTGCAAAGTACATATAGAATGCTTATATATATGCAATTTTCAATGAGTTAGTATCTCAAGAAGTTTTTCAGGCATAAGTAGAACTAGTTTCTCTCCCATGAAACCAGAGGTTTTCAGGTTTTGCCCATTGGCAATTCTTTTTTTCTGTAGCTAAGTGGTGCTTAAGTTCAAATGTGAATATCAACCCCTGTAGCAGGTGCTTGAGCACATGTCTAGCAGGGACACTTGGGAAGGAGGCTTCTCTTATAATAATGCAGCCCCAGAGTGACCATTTATTTAATCATTCTGGGGGACATGGGTGTAAGACATTACAAAAGATCCTATGAAAGAGAAATGGATAAGTGGAAGCTAAGAGGAAAATGGAAAAAACTAAACATGTGGGGAGATCTCATGAAAATCAAAGGGAGATCAGCAGAATAGAGTAGATGAAAGGAACCAAGGGAACGGAAAAGTAGAGGGAAAGGGGAAATACTGGAGAATGATATTGGCCAAATTTTATTGTTATATTGTGTGTAGGTATGAATATGTAACAAAAAATGCCATGATTATGTACAACTACAATGCATTAACAAAATAAGGAAAATTCTACTTTTAAAAAAGAAAGAGGAATAGAATGAGTATCTGAAGCATTAGACTTGAGGGCAGAATATAGTAGAAAGTCCTCAGGCACCTGAAAGGGTGAAGCAATGGTCATGTTGAGATTTGTCGTTTTATCAGAACCTGAAGAAAACAATTGGCTCAATTATAAATCACCTTGATCAACATTTTGCCTTCTTCATAGGGGAATTCCTATTCTGTATCTCCCTTAAATAACCAACAGGTTTGAGATAAATTGCCCCTTAACTACTGAGATGGGAAAAATCAATGAAACAAAACCAATGTTGAAACAGAGTCACTGTTAGGAAGCATAAAGCAAAAGGAGTTTTCAGATGTTTATAAATGTCAAGCCTGAGAGATTTGTCTATTGTGAAAATTTTAAAGGTTATAAATAGCATATGAGTTTTATCTTTTGATTATGATAATAACATCCATTTCAACAGGCCTAGAACTAAGCCTAATTGCAAGAGTCAACATTTACGTTAGGGAAAAATTGTTCTTCACTGAATACAAGGTGATAACTATCAGTGGGGTTGTTTTTTGAAGAAACTGGAAGAGAGAAAAGAAAGGAGGAAATAAAATTTCACAACTGAAAGAAGAATGGATTTGTTTTAGGATACATCATTATAAATTACTTGCAAAGTACATATAGAATGCTTATATATCTGCTTCCAAAGTACATATAATATGGAGAAATATGCATGCACA